GAATTCCAACAAGATAAATATAGTTTTGCAAATTTCTATTATTTTTAACAATGAAAACAGGGGGCATGGAAGGTTGGATAGTACGAAAATAGAAAGACAAAACCCTTGCCACCTTCGCCAACCACCAGCTCCTCCGTCTCCGCCATCCACCGTCGAAGAAATTGTGGCCACCATTTTCCATGAATCCTAGCCATCCTCACAAACCCTAACAGACCTKAATAATCGCGAGCTTCTGGAGACGAATTTTTCAACCGATTCGATGGAGAAGACGATGGCTCCCATCCCGTCGATGGAGAAGACGATGGCTCCCAAAAGCTGTTGGAGAAGACGATGGTTCCCATCYCGTCGATGGAGAAGACGATTGCACCCAAAAGCTGTTGGAGAAGACGATGGCTCCCATCCCRTYGATGGAGAAGACGATGGCTCCAAGACCTGAAATCGTCGGATGGAGAAGACGATTCGTTGGAGAAGACGATGGCTCACACTCCATTCGTTGCTCTCTATCTCTGGTCTAGGGTTATGAAATGAAAGAGGGGATGAGATTGAAAGGGGGAGGCGTGAGATGAGGGTATAATTGTCAATATTTTGGCTTAATGGGGACAACACACCCCTTCCCTACTGTGCGAATAAGCCAACATATTTATCATTAAGCCGCAAGTAAACATCCATATATGGCTGTGCGAATAAGCCAAAACAACCATTAAGCTGATTAAGTCAAAAGTAAACACCCCTAAGCATAAGATACAAGAAAAGACAAATATTTTCTTTGAAATGTATATATAGCATCCCAAACTAATGGGAAGTCCATTGTTATTTCAAATTAAAAACTAAAAAAAAGGCACGCGTGGTTTATACGTTGGTTCCTTTTTAAGCATTCAACATGTTGCTGCAAAAAGTTTCTCCCTCTACATGTAATATGGGGTTCTACTGTATGCTAAACAGGGACAGAGGAGCCAAGAGTAGCTTCATATTTCTCTTCATAAAGCTCCATGGCCAGTTGAGGATATAAGAACCTTTGCCCTGCTGTAGTCTGATATCTAATTTCCCGTGCTTAGTAATAAATGTAGTTTAGAGCAAAATTGTCCCCAAGGAAAGACCCTTACCACTATGACTCCAAGAAAGTTGCAAGGTCAGTAAGCAGTGTCAGGCTTTCTTTTACCTCCTCTGCCCATTAGTCCATAGTCGGGGCTTCCTAAGACAATAAACTGATACAGCTATATATCATAGTTCTGTCTGGCAAAGTGCTAGTAATCAGATGAACCTCCAGCATGATCATCTTCTAATTTTTAAATAGTTTTCTTAGTGTAGTTTAATGGCGGGTGATGGAGCAACTGAATGCGGCGATGCAGGGGAAAACAAACCTATAGGTTCACCTTTCTATTAATATGGTAGGAAATGCAGCAATACACCTTTTGGAGAAGGGAGTGGATCCATCATCGATGATAAATAAAGGGCGCATGAGACGGCCCACAGAGGGATATCGATATATAAAACATAAGTTCTTTGTCTTTCAATTTTATCATGTTTCTCTTGTTTTAACCACAGAACATGATTTGATTTAGGTGAAGAATATCAGTTTATCATATCCTCGTTCTTAACTAATGACAGTGAACACTGAAACACAAAGAATGACTTGGGGAAGATATAAGCCAAATGATCTTGTAAAATCATATATAATCCATGTGATAAAGTAGAAATAGAAATGACAATAACTGAAATCAGATCTGAGAATGGAGATTGCCATCTGAAATAGCCAATTGGTGCATAGAACGCAGTAGGTAAGAATAGCACTTACAGAAACAATCTCGATCAAATATCCTGGAATGACGTTTCCTAGTTTGGAAACGCTCTGTTCAGAAATTTTTGTGAGCTTTGAATCAAGTGCAATAATCGTTCTAAGCAACGAACAGGTGTTCTCCAGGGGTAGTTTATTTGACTGAAAGCAGAAAACATAAGACGTTAAGATTACACATGCAGGTAATTTCCCACAGACCAACCAAGTTGTCCATTAATAATACAGCCCTAGAAATATTTTAAAGTGATAACTCAAAGAGTAAAGTTATGGAAGCTTAGCCAACATACAATCTGATCAATAACTGCTCCCTCTAGCATCTTAAAAACAAGATGATCATCCCCAATTTGAGACAGACAAGAGCAAACAGCACTAGTGATAGACCTAAACAATCCAGAGCTTGACTTCCCGCATTTCTCCATGACTGAACTGCTTTCTGATAAACAAATTAATAAAGAAATTACAACGTTTAGGCAGCACTACTAATTTATTACTACCCAGGCTTAGCCAGAAGTCTAACAAAGAACATATGTCAGTAATAAGTATTGGAAAAAAGTAAGAGAAGAAAATGAAAACTGCTTAGAAGAGTACCAGGACAAACTTCATATCGTGCCAGCAAAGTGATGAGGAAACTAATATAGTCCACGACCTGGATGTGTCCAGCCTTATAGGCAGAATTCAGAACTTCCAAGAAGCGAAATAAGAGAAATGGCTCCAGATCCTGGCCTGCAATGATCAGCATTTAAGAAATCATTGATCAGGGAAGAATTTGTTTGTCAACTTTAGTTGTAGGTTTATTCCCCATTGCCTGTCAGATTGTTGCATATACTTTCTTTAACAGAAATGGTTAATAATATTCATGCAATCATGTATTTCCATGTGAGCTAAAAAAGCTCTTGGCATGTGGACATGATTCACTTTCAGTGTTCCTCACTCTCCTTGTCTTGTCTTCTTCCCTTCCCTTTCCTGTAGAAAAAAATGCATGTACTCATCCTACAACCAAAACAGTTTCATCTATGTGATATATTTAAATGTGATTTATGATAAATTTTCATTTAGCATTCACAACGTTAATGCAGTCAAATCCCTATTGCTGAAGAAAGCAGGTATTGTGATCCACTCAAGGCCATTATATAAAAATATAGTAAAGTTGGAGAAGGACGACATGCAAATTAAGGATGGAAATGAGATTCATCGAAGTTAAGTGGATGTAAAGACTACGGGAAGTATATGGAGGTTGGTATTTGGTAAGACTGAGGTTGTCATTGACAGAGATACTCTCGTGTCAGAGCCACTCACTTATCCCATACAAGGTCTAATTACTAGCATTCTACCAAATTTATCAGAAGAGAGACAACGGACGAAGAACTAATCTAATAGAACTAAAACTATGTACCATAATACGATCAAAAGGATGTGCTGAGGGCACATAATGCTTTCATATAAGAAGCAGGCAATGACAAATAAAGGATCCGAGATTTTCTTTTTCTTTTATCAAATTAAAGGAAAACTACAACACTTACACAAGCAACAAGCAGCCAGCGATTGAAGCAGAGATGGGTCCAGGAAGGAGAAGTAATACAGGCAACAAACAGAAAGTTCCTGAATATCTCTAGCAAGCTTCATAAAAGGACCATAAGAAATATTTCCTGCCAAAGAAAAAGATTATTGGTACTCGTAGAACTACACGCAAATCAGTAAGATGCAGGATTGAAGCATTAAATTTCCTACTACCATCATGACATGTACTGTAAAATTCTCTCAATGAGTACTGCATGCTGTCAAGCTCCTGCAAGAGAGGAGAGTTCATAATAGCACATTGTCCCAATTGAAGCTGAAGACGCAATACAGCCTGCAGGAAGCATTCGAAATTTAAGTAAAAGAATCACCATTATCAAGGTCTGAGGACAGAGAGATCAGAGTTACAAAGATCCAAATGCTGTTATATCTGGTTTGTTTCATGTAATAAGCAATGGTCATGAGTGAGATATACCTTGGACAACGATGGATTTTTATCACCCAAGAGGATTAGCAACAAAGGAATCTCTCTTATCCAGGTAATCTGAAAGTCTATAATTCCTGAATCACTTGTACTTGGGGATAGCCAACCGTCTTTCTGTTAATTGGACACAATATCAAACAAGATTTTGGGGAAAATAAATAAGAAACACAATGGTGTAAATTGCTATTGACTGACAGCCATCTAGTAGGACATACCCTCCCCCTCCCCAATAAAGGCTAGCCTTCATAGACTCTGCTTGCATTTGTTGCTTGAAAGGAATTCTTTGTGATAAACATGTAGGGATATAGGTGAAAAAGCTTACAGGAAATAGCATTTCTTCGACTGCCGAAAGACAAACCAATTTCATTGAAGACTCTGGATCACACTTCTTGAAACCCTCTGTAAAAGCCTGAAATATGTATCACTGAGAATTGTCATTCATAACATCCATCTTATGCAAGGATGTCAACATTGTGAGAATAAAGTACATATACAATCGTTAAGCTTCAAAAATTCAACAGATAAATAATACAATGGTAATTAGTTGTGAAGAATAAATTTTTTCATACAACAGTAGGAACAATGTGGAAAACCTGAAGAATGTGTGATTTCCACGTATCATCAACTTGCATGATCAGTTTGGGGATGAAGGGAATAAGTGGGAGTGAATGCTTCTGGAAAAATGCTTTGCCAGAAAGCACAGTGCTGCATACCTGCAAAATGGTGCATATCATCTCAGTTCCATGACATTTTCCAAAAAAAATATCCATAATTCTATATGGCAAATTTTACTTGAAACAAAGATATCATAATGTTCTAATTTCAAGTGAACAGAGACAATAAATACTGTAATAATACGTCTATTGGATGCCAAATTACTGTGTCATTATTAAGAGCGAAGGATCATGATATATGCCATCAAGAAACAAAATTCACTTATATAGGATAATAGTATTATGAATAAAGGGACCTCGGAAAACTACAAGTACAAATTGAAGACCAATAAAAACAATCAGCTGTTTCACACTCATACACAAAGGAAGCATAAATAAAGGGACCATTTAGATTCGGTCTGTTGGAGAACGAAAGTTTCAGATAATTTGAGCCCATGCATAAAGCAAAGATCAAATCAGGCTTTCTTTCCAAGAAGGAACTTCAAAATCATGTGTTAAAGTTATGATTCTTATAGAATACGATAATTTCATACATGATGAAAATGAAAGGAAGAAAAGAAAACAAACACCAATTATTATGGTTCATATGCAGTTACATCTATGAATTAAATGAACCAACATCATAATGCTAGTGAAATCTGTCAAACAGATTTCAGGCAAACGTCGTTTTTACTGATCTCTGTTCATCAAGTTGGATTCATGGTGCAGTTCAAATAGCCCAAGGTTCGCCATATTCATTTCAGTTCAAGTAAAACTTGGTCCATTTACAGGCATATAGGCAAAGGATTGAAGTGATGTGCCAAGACAGTTATTTAATCAACTCTGTTTCTTTCTACAAGAAATGCACTGTTAGGCTTTCTATGCTTGCACCAACAAGCGTTCTTGATCTAATAGCTTGATTTATTTTATGTTTAGTGATACGGAATTGGAATTATCTAAAGATGAAGTTAACAAACCTAGGATATTACACGTATATTCTAGAAGGGGCAAAAGGGTAAATGACAAAAGTGGCTGAAGGTTGTTAGAAAAAAGAGAATAAAAGAGGAAGGAGGTTTTCCTTTTTACGCATTCTGTTATTTTTGCTTTCCATTGTCTTGGGCTCCAATCTTGTAGATTGTGAGAGAGGGGTTACCCCTGGAGTTCTGATTGTAATTTTCGATTTCTGATTTCAATTAAATCATTCCCTTCCTCTCAATGTGTTCTTACTTCATTCCATAGTTGCTTTAAAGAATTCGATTATTCATCACTGGTCCGACCTGCCGATGACCTGCCGTTTCCTTTGATTCTTTGTTAATGGAAACCCGTTCTATCCAATCCCAATTGGAGCAACATGATGAGCAGCTCCAGCGACTTCAGACTGAGATTACTGAGATTAAACTGGCTCTGCAATCACTGGAGGTGGATAGGGTGGAGTCTGCTTTAAAGAATTCGATTATTCATCATTTAGTCTAAGCCATCTATTTCTTTTTGAAAGGTCATTAGCCTCTGAAACACAATAATAAGACCCCATACTGAGACAACCTACAAACACTCATCCAATCATTTCGATTGAAGATTAGTGCAACAAAGTTGTCCCATGTTCAATAAAAGGGTTACAACCCATAATCCAACCATGCTTATGTGTTAGAGGTATGAATAGGTGCTATTTTCCATATTAAGGTGATAATTGGTATAAATAGATGTTCTTTCTTCATATTAACTTCAGAATATTCACAAAGAGAACTACTTTCCTGATGCCAACTGATTGTGCTTACTTGCATGTGACTTGTTAATGAAGAGCCTCAATAGCCATGCAATCTCATTTTCGAAAAATAGCTGCTATGAAGTCTCAATAATATCCGAAGCACGCTATAAAATGTGTACCTTTTCAGACAACGCATCTACAATGAAGACCAGGAATTTTTCCAAAAAGGCAGATGGGGGAGCTGACCAATCACTTGAGCAAAAAAAGATCTCTGAAACTAGGACATTCAAGACAAAATACCTATTATCGTCCTGCAGAAGCATTGAGAAGGTTCAAGCAATTCAATTAGATGGTGAAAAGAAAAAAGGAAAATCCAATGGTATGACGAAAAAAAACAAGGCAAAATGTAAAATTTAGATATCAGTGAACAAGGACCCGTGAATACAAGTATTCTTTCACATATTTGGGCACCAAATTGAAAATCAAAAGAACCAAAATTGAAGCTCAGAGAGATGGAAATATATCCAGATACATCGCTCCTTGCCATAAAGATCACACATAAAAACCTGGAACTGTTACAAGAAAATTGGTTCTAATGACACAGTCCAGGACCCAGGCTGAAACAACACAGGATCAACCATGGCTCAATCAGACCCGGAGTTTTTGCAGCGACTTCATTGCAAAAAGAATGACATACGATTTGGACAAAATCGAATAGTATATCAGTTACAGATTCTACAGACATTTAAATCATGCCATGTAAAGAAACATGCATATCTAACAGAAATTTGAAGCATAACAAGTCCGACTTGCAAGACAAGCCATGTGTAGCATGATTAACTACTAAACCAAACTCTGTAAGCCATGGAGTTAGTAATCTGTTATTCAGTCAAAATAGTATTTCAACAAACTGGAAACTATTTTGTTGTATGGCAAGGGCAACAAAACCCCAACTAACATTTCAATTGCTTCTTGAGTCACATCTTCGAGTTGGACGTAGAGAACTTGACTCAAAAGTCATCTATGGAGGAGATATCTCTAAGAGGATGCCAAGTATATGTTATTCAAGCTCAAATATTCCAGCTTCAGAGTGTGGTTCTCAAGCAAAAGAACTTAAAAGGAAGTCATTCCAGTAAAAGCCACAAAGAACCCTGCATACCATTGAAAGATGTACGCTATTGTTTAGATATCCGTTTGGGGAATCAGCCATCCCATATAGTAGCAGGAAAGAAGAGACATTTTCCTACTATTCTGATGTTAAGGTAAGTAGGCTGTTACTGTAGCTAAAAGAGGTAACAACTGAGCTTTAGAAAGCAACCAACAGTATATTAGAGACCATCAAAGAGGATATATAAAGAAGAAACCAATCAATAGTTGAGGTGTACACACAATAAGTTTGTTCATTCAGTAATTTTATACCTTCTCTGATGACTGATGTGGCGGGTTCAAGGGAAAGACATCAAATAACTTCTTCAATAACTTCTGCAGCACATCTTGATCTCGTCTGTCGGAAGGTTGTGAGACTTTCAGTTGTTGACCACTTTTGCTGTTCCCATAAACAAAAAACTTGACAACAAGATCTATACTTTTCAATATGGAAAGCACACAATCAAATGATTGTGGTTCCAAAATAGGCATTGTCTGAACTGAGGGGATAAAATCCTGAAGACCACCAACCAAAATAGGCAAAAGGTCCTTCAATTCCTTTGCAGTCACTGAAAAACCTGTTAAAAAGATGTCAAAAAAAGAGAGGCGGCTGATTGGTAAGCATCCGTACAGGAAGAAAAGGACTGAATATATAAGTAGAGAAATTCAGTGATAATATGAGGCAAAAGAACAGACACAATTTATGTGCATGCCAAGTACTACAGATTTTTCATGTTCCTTCTTTTGTTCACATTATGCCATGGGTTGTCTATATGATTGTGATAGTCAATATTTTAAGTTCTTAGTATCAGAACATTATGAATATTGCACATAACATATCACATGCTATCATATCTTATAAAGATATTCACAAAAGAAAATTATTAAATTCCAGGTTTTTTCACTTACTAGAATGATCTTCATGCACTTCAGACTCAAGAGCGTGCAAAATTCTTCGGTCAGCAACAACCTATTGGCAAGAGCAAGGCACGAGGGAAAAGGGGAGAGGAGAAGGTATTATAAATTAAATTTGAATAGCAAAATCCCAAAGGGATAATAGTCCGCATTTGCTTGTGTGAACAACTTCAAACGAAGTCATAAATGAACAAGCAGTGCAGAGACCAAGGAAACATAAAGCACTGTTAAGAACATAAATGTACAGTTGAGAATGCATAACCAACATAGATTACATCAACACTACTGCCAAAACATTAACAAGCAATTGTGAGTTGTTTCACACGTTTTGTTCTCATTTTATAGCCTAAATTGCATTGTTCTCGTGTCCGGTCCTACTGTCCTAGCGTGTCTCGTGCAATTTTCTTACACTTTTGTTTAGTTTTTCTCTGTTTGATGCCTATTACTTTGTCCCGGATATATTCACGTTTTGGCGAGTATTTCCAGTGTGCATGTGTGTATGAACTCGAGAAAGAGAATAAGGGAGGAAGTGCAAGCAGTATAGGAAGCAGAAAAGATGAAGAAAAAGAGTTGGAAGCTGCTCATGCCCACAAGTGATTTAGCCGCGCAGGCAAGAGGAAATCTGGATATTGACATTTTTCTACTGTTTACGGCCATAAGCATTTTAGCCACGCGTCCACGAACGACGCTGCAGTCCCCGAAAATCCGTTTTTAGCCAGGGTTATTTTGGTCATTTGGGCTTGGATATTTAAGCTTTTTGGTACCCTGTTTTAGGTAATATGCCCCAACATACTTCCATTCCAGATTTAGATTTTCCTTTATGTGTTAGGGTAGATGTTTAGCTTAATTTGGAGAATGGAGCTTGCAATCTCAGATCTGAAAGACATGTAATAGGAGTCAGAAAATAAGTTTGCCTTCACTTGGAAATATCCATACTAAGGGGCCGTTTACCAAACACTTACCGGGGTAAGTACTTACCGGCAAAATTTAACACTATAACTTACTTACAGGGTAAGATTTTAGTCCATCAAAACGGTATCGTATGCAACACTACCGGGTAAGCGCTAACCGTGGTAAGAGTCGTCCGCCCTCACTTACAGGGTAAAACTCTGGGTCCTTGCATTCGCTCTTACCGGGTAAGATTTTGTGTCCTTGCCATATTCATCCGGTAAGGTAATGTGACTTGGTAAGCACTTACCTGGGTAAGTGTTTCATAAACGGCCCCTAAGTGAATGTTGTCAAGCACATATCACAATGTCAACACCCTGCATATAGAGCAAAAGCATAACATTTCTGATCTCATTTCATTGCATAGATCTAAAATCATTGCTAGTGTGACTGTAATGGAGTTGATTTGCATTAGGTAATATATTTGTGGGCCGAGAAAGATAGAATGACGTTGAGGTCACCATCATCATTAAACTCATGACACTGATATTCCACCAATATCAGCAAAGTAAAGTTTGGCTAGTAATATATAAGTAATAACTTATGCACTATCTAGTATTGCATAAAGCACCTTTTCCTAGGGCAGAGTTGTCAAAGAAACCTGTTAACACCTTCCTAGACATAAGTATGCAACCATTGAAGTTCAGGTGGGCTCCTTGGGAATCTTAACCATCTATTATTTTCTGTCAAGAAGGTGCATAAATAGATCAATAGTAAAGCTGCAAAATATTAAGCCAACTACCAACAGGGTCAAGGATCCTAGGGTAAAAGGAACTCTCTTCATCATGGGGATAATATTCCAAACATATGTAAAGACACTTCTCAAAGATAAACAAAACCATTGTGATGAAATCATGAAAAAGAACCAAATTATGCCAGAGTACAAGAACACAGAATTTTAGACATTACATGTTGAGGCTAGGTGGCAATTCTTGCATTAAAAGTTAGAAAGTACATTTTCGGTTGACGAGTTATTATCTGTTGTCTTATTACACGGCAACAGAGAGAGACAGTATGCCAAACCAGCAAGAACGCTCTTAAGCTTTCCCTTGTCATGCAAATTAAACTGGTTCTTCTGCAATATCTCTTTGTAATGTTGGATGATCTGTAATTGAGAATAATGAACTTTCAATATAAAACAGGTTTGTATCATGTAACAAGCTAAATATGTCAATATTTCTCAATCTGAATTTTTTTCAAGAAAGGCATGATTTAAGGCAACAAAATAACCGGACCAAACCAAACAAACCCACTATATCCCATTAGGAAGTAGGGTCTAGGAGGGGTCGGATGTACGCAGTCCTGACTTCTACCCACATGAGGGGGAAAAGCATGAACATCCCCAATCAAATTAAAAATATACACCTAACCAAAATAATGGAAAGACTTCCTAAGTTTTTCACACCACTAAGTGGAGATACACTATACATCTATCTTATAAAATAAATTATAAGAAACAAATACCTTTTCAGCATACATGGAGAATGACATTGGGTAGTGCTGGACAACTAAGTCAAAAAATTTGAACGCCATCAAACGAACATCAATTGTCAAATGCGTCATTGCATTAAATACATATGCCATCATCAAAGATATAAAAGTTCCCTGGTTATCCTGGAGAAGTTAAAAATAAAAACTAAATAAGCAAAAGGATAAATGCATTAGGTAATTTGCAATAATAAAGAAAGAAATATGCCAAGCAGAAGCTTTCAAAAAAAATACAAGATATACGTATTTAAACAAAAGGTCATGGCACCCCCAGGCTATATTAGTAGAAGAAATGTAAGACAGGATGCTGGCCCAGAACAACCAAATTACTTAAACCTGCACTCAAAATATATATGATAGGCTCTACACTGGCATATAATACATCAAAGAAATAGTATAACACATATGTCATGTTCCTATATTATTTACTATAAGAATTGAGGGTAAACAACTCGTCTTATTTGTTGTCTCGGCACAAAAATGCAATGAGAGACATGATAACTATATAAACAATCAAAAGACTCGATAACCATTCAGCATCAGAAATATCTGAATAGTTTACTACAACTCAATGAACCTGTGTAATAAATAACCCCAACTCCCAAGCTAGCAATTGATCAATTTAGTACATGCATAACAAGTTCAATTCAAAACTTGAAACACTTGAAAAAAGCTAGAAAGAGTAGGAGAAAAACAAGAGCAACCACCTCTTTACAGCCAGGAAATATCACTGCCTTTAGAAGTTGATATAGTGTCTCGCGAACCAATTTGTCTTCATCACTCATGCGCTCACGCAGTTTTTCTATAACAGAGAGTCTGTGCATTTTTAGTTCTGTTGGATGTTTGAGGAAGATATCCCTGATACCTATCAATGCATCTTGAAAGAGAAACAGCTAGTGTTAATACCAAATCAGAGTAGTGTAACATCTAATCCAACACTTCAAACTCTATGGATCATCATAGTGTTAAAGGTTACCGGTCATAGTACTCATCATTGGGCACATTGTCTGCACATAAGTACTAGAGTTTTCATAATGCATCATCATTTAGAATGTCCACCCAAAAGATTCACCCCACATCACACACAAATACAGGTCAAATTGCATTCATTTCACCACCTTTTACATTTTTTTCATAATGAAGCAGTGTTTTAACAAAACCTTGCAATCTTGTCCACCCTTTTACTTGACATTACTAAACTGGTGATTGTGGACTGAAATTTGTATTTTGTATGTTTTTATTGAAAATTCAGGGTATGCAATTTATAAATGCAGTCAAGGGTTATACCACAATCTGTTACTAAAAAACAATTTTGATGAAATAAGGAGCAAACTTGCCAAAAGAAGATAGATACAGGAAAGATTGCTTGATGGAATGATGTATCATTTTGAAATTTGAAATCCACATCGTGCAAACCTAGTCTAGTAAAAAGCAATGATCCCATGTGAGTTTTTTTATGGGGGGGAGTCTGCACAATTTGCCAGCATAACTGTGGATACTGTTTCCTGGTACCACGGCAATAGCATGGTTCCAATTGATCTATGCAATAGTTATAACAGTACAAAACACTGCTCATTTTATTAAATGTATAGTAGGAATCCAATGAATGCAGAACTCGTAATGATGAACATATAGGAAGGGAAGAGAGAGAAATGATAAACTTGCACCATGATCCAACTGACCATGCAAAAGAGTTTAAGCATATCACACCCCCTCCCCCAAAAAAAGTAAATTAGGATTTAGGCGCTACGTAAGATGCCAATCTTATTTACCCACCAATGTCAATGAACATCTTGATGATATATGCTTTTAGTTCATTTGTCAAAAACAAATTGTCTTCTATGTAAGTCAACAAATTAGTTTCACAAACCCACATGTTCATGAAAGAAATGATACCTCTACGAACTTTTGCATTGTGATGAGATGTCTGCTGAAGGAGCTCTTTTAAAGTCAAACCTTTTTTGCTCACAGCTAGACCGGCCTTCTCTGATACCAGACTTTGTTCTGGCAATATGATTGCTGCACATAACATGTTGAGATATCAAACACACTATGAGCCATTATCATTCTCTTAAGGGACTGATCTAGAAAGGGGAAAGGAAGGGCCACAGCAGAACATTGGTCATCATCATCGAAGATAGTTTTGCCACATTCTACTTCTAACTAATACATAGCCTCCTTATAATACTAACATCAACAGGTGTATTTGGAAGTATCACAACACTCTTTGTGCCCAAAGATGGCATAATATATTAAGTGGTTGAAATGGTAACCCAACCATTTATTACTTGGTTTATGAAATTCATAGTAATAGAGATATGTGTCCCACAGAGACATGATATGCAACTTGCTATTTTGTAACCTGACGGGCAAAGATTTGCCTCTGTGGAAAGGACAATTCATTTACATCGACATGACAATCCAATTAATTGGATAGCCAAAATCCATGTTGTATATATTTGAAGGAGGTTGACTTCCTTGCTTGTCATGGTACAATCCTCATCCTGTCAAGCTTGCTTTCTCCTCGGGCCATAGAGACAACATGTCGATGAAGGGATATGGATAGGCTGCCCTCTCACACTTAAGGCATTGTTTTTCACTCTTATTGTCAAGTTAAGGGTATGGATATTTTGCTCGAGAGTTTGACGATTTTAGGAAAGAGGTCCAGGTAGCTCAACTGGTTACAGTAAATGAATGAAAAAACATGTGTGCCAATGTGGATTCCCCATATTAAGCCACACCTCTATAGCTCAGCAATATGGCGGCTTTTTGTATGGTTCAACATGACTTATCATTATTTGTAACAACTATAACTAATATACCCTGACTCGTTAATCCAAATAAATATAAGATTAAAGCATGAGTGAAAGAACAAATTGACCAGAAGGGCGTAGATCATCTCAACTGTAAATGATGGGTTATGTTAGTTAATCTGATGATAATTTGATAGAGATGATAATGGCTGATTTAGTAGTTAGAGTATATGTACGCAATTGATTAAAAAAATTGTGGAAGAATGTAACCCAAAAACTATGGAAATTCGCCAATAGCTTGTCTATTTTGAGCCAAAAGATCAACATGAAAATTTTCATTTTGTGGCAAACTGCAGTTTTACGATATGGCGAACAAGATGATCCTATTTACATCCTCAAACCTGAATGTTTAGTACAGGGCCAGTGTTTCTATATGAAACAATGAATTGTGATTGTTTCTTTAGAGATGCAAAGTTATAGACAAGCACAAAGAAAAAAAAATCCAGAAGGTATGTCTCCCGTGGGGATACGGGAAGCAGGTGTAGCACATTGAGATACAGGTAGCGAGTTAACTAAGACTCAAATTAATTTATCTACATTACCTTTCGATTTGACTTCAGTATTCGTAGTATTCTTTGGTGGCGGCAATTTCCTTCCAATCTTTCGCTTTATTTTCTGCAGGATTTCAAAGGTGCAATTGCAGTGAAAACTTTTAAACCATCAGGCATTTTTCAAATTCCTCCATGAATAAATAGAAGGAAAAGACTTACTTTGAAGTCTACACCGCGCTTTTGCTGCTTCTTCAACTGAGCCTTATGCTGCACCATTCTTCAACTCTTTTACAGCCGACAACCCCAAACAAATAAGCAGCGATGGAGAAAGAGGAGCAGGAACCTGATTTGCGACGGAGAGGGAGGAGAGGACGACGGAGGAAGCAGGCGGCGAGGAACCTGATTTGCGGTTGTATCACCCCAATATTTATATAAAGTTACCATAAAAACATTACCGGGTATTTAAAGAAACGGGGAGCCCAACCTTGTTGTTTCTTTTCTAAATAAGCCCAACATTTTCTATTTCATCCTCCATAGTCCATACTCCATACTCATGGCCCCACCACACGTATTAAAACGATAATCAGCTGAAGCAACGGCACAACCGCAGAAGCGATTATCCGAGATAATTTAGTTTTATACTTGTATTCTACCATCTATTCTTCAATCTTGCTGGTTGTTTGGATGAGATTTGAACCAAATTCTATAGGTCGAAAACTTGCTGATTGCTTGTGCCTTGATATTCGCTAGCCTCTAGGTCAACATTCATATATCAGGATTTAGGTGATTGTTAATTGTAATCAACTTTGATTAGGTATTTTGGTTTCTGTAGACTTTCATCCTCCTTGATACATAGATAAAAAAGTTCCCTTGGGTCTGCATTTGCTTCTTGAAATGTTGCTCAGAATTTTCCTGCATTGATCTTCAACATGAAGCTTTAGAACATAGCCACAAAGATGGTAACTTTTTTGCCTCTTGACAGATTTGAAATCAGGACTTGTGGATTATATTAGAAGTTCATAGCGGGTAATTTTCCTCTTCAGATAGAACATGGTAAGAACGATCATAAGGATAAAGATAAAGAGAGTCTTACTCCCACTAAGTGACGATGACTACTTTTAACCTGGCAAACGTTAACTAGATATATTGTTGTATAAGATCTTATCTAGTAAAATAAATTACAGTGTTTACTCTTATCGTTAAGTACTTGTCGGGTAATGATTTAGTTAAACAAATCATGGGTTTGTCTGCACCTTGCTGGGAACATAAAGCTATGCTACCAAAAAAAACAATGATAACAGAAGAATGTTTGTTTAATTAAAAAAAAAAGAATGCAATAGAATGGATGGTATTGTCAATGACACAATGATACCAATGTTCACAAGAAGAAGCAGCCGGCATGCTTAAAACCCCTTTGCGTTCCGTACAATTCCGGCAGTCGGCGGGGTAAATCATTATATTTCAAAAGTAAAAAGTGTAATTTATGGGTTACTTTTGAACATTCATAATAGTACAAGGGCTTCATTTGTAAATATACAGCATTTTCGCATCTTCTCCTGCACTTTCACGAAATAGTAAAATCAAGTACCTTCAAATATATTTTGTACAACTCCTCACTCATCACCTTCTTTATCTTGTAAGCTAAGCATAAAGTGCATTTCATATATTAGATGGGCAGTTTTGTAATTTTTAAGATTGGGAATTTCAAAAAGCCATGTCTTAGAATTTATGTTGCCATCAATCATAAAAAAAAATCTATTTATTTGGCAAATACCAAATGTAACGCCCAACCTACACCCGGCCGTTGGGGCAAATGTCAGGCCCCGATCCTTGTTCAAAGCACGATTGGTTGCCCAAGTCCGGCTAACGACTAGTTGTGTCTAGGATATGGTGATGCGGGTCATGTATCGAGGTATGTCGGATTCATGGTTTCCTCTGTTACTTTTGCATCGTTCGGTGCATTCTTGGGACTGTTTTGACACCAAAACAGACGTATCCTATATACCTCACTCACTTGTAAATAAGAAATATAAATATTTAAAAAAAACAAATTATATTTGTATGAAAATTATTAGGTATATAATTTTAAATGAGATTTTAATTTAATATATGACCTTCTTATGAATATAAAGTCATTTTTTAATAGATCAAAAAATAATAAATTTAATTAAAAATTCATTTAAAATTATATCCTTAAATGACGCTTTTTTGACCCTCTACAATTAAACATTTAACTAAGAATAATGTCAGTTTGCGGTTTCGTGAATGATATAATAGAGAATTGTATTAATAACAAATTATCAAAATATGGGATATAAAATAGGCACGAGATCCATATTCCTATGTGGGAAAATTTAAATTGATGTCTCCAATAGCCGAGCTACTATGACCTATATGTTAACCAATTTTTTATAAAATTTTCAAAGAGTTGTTTGTCAATTATAGAATGATTTAGTGTAAAATAATTAATAGCAGTGGTGGATCCATAAACTTTTATTATTTGGGGCATCTTTTAAGGATGTCAAAAAAAAATCTGAAACCGAATAACTTTTTCGAAACCAATACGATTTTGGGTTATTTGGTTTTCGGCTTAAAGGTCCACTTTAATTGAATAAAGATAACTTATTCATTAGCATTATAGCAAACAAAAGAAGAGAAATAAAATGAATTTTAACGGGTTGACACTTGGAAGTTAGATAAATTAGAGTTTAATTTCTAATTTATCAAGTAATGACTCATTCAAGTAAGAGTTCTAAATGAGATGACAAGAATTATAATTGAGTCTAACTTTTATTTGTTATGAGTCTATTAATAGTTTTAGGTTAACAAAAATAAAAATACAAATAAACTACTCATGGGGTTTGTTGGGGACATGTGCCCCCTACCCTTTTGCTGTGAATCCGCCAATGATTAAGAGGTTTTCATGATATAGTGTAAAATAAAATATAATTATTTGATAATTGTTTACAATGAAATTATGACGCTAAATGGTTAAGGGAGGTTCAAGATACAAAATCATTCAGAGGGTTTTAAAACCATTAAGAGACAAACATTTTTTTGTCAAACAAGATTCACCTCTCAACGATTCAGAGATTGCCTCTTAATAGAATTATTAAGAAATAAGCAAACAACCCCTAATAAACATTTCATTTCAATTTATCCTCTTATCAATAATCATGACTTAAAATAAGATTTGTTAAGTTTGATTCATGATTTTCTTTATTTTTTCTTAATAAATGAATATGGGTAGTTGAATATCCAAATTATGTATTCAATTAAATATTTCTTTTATTTAAAATAATGTAATGTTAGTTTTCACTGTAAATAATTATCTAGATAAAAATAATTTCAAGAATTACTAGTTTTTATTTGAAGAAATAGTCAAAACCCATTAACTTAACCATGTGGTAGTTTAACTGATAAGGTATTGAATTTGCATAGTAATGGTTATCCGTTCAAGTTTTTTTAGGGTATGTTCGGTGTCCAGACATGATAGAGCATGATTGCATGATAGAATATAATATGACATAATAGTTGTTCATCATTTGGTAAGACAAAACTGAACATAACATAACAAGTAACATTATCAATTTACTATTAATAAGTTGTTTATATATTTTGATTAATGTATGTAATTTATTAAATTATAATAAAATAATTATTTTTATAACAAAATATACCATTATAAAGTTTTCATCAAAACAATTAAAATGACATCAAAATAAAAAGTTTATGTAGTTTCCAAATTTATATTATTCATTTTATACATTATTTTGTCATTATTAGTATATAATAAATTACATAAATTAGTAAAAATATAGAAGCCTTATAAAAACAATATTTTGTTGACAGTAAAATGAAAGTTTAAAAATATAAAATACAATAAATAAAATTCAAAAAATGAATAAAATGTAAAAATGAGACATATTTCATGTTTTAAAAGAGAATTAAGTTTTACTTTGAGGTTATATTGGTAAAATATAAATTTGTTTCACCTTGTTCCACCCTCTTTTATAAAGTTGGGGGTGAAACAAGTTTGTCCCAGTTTGTTCCGCTATGCTCTTATATGTTCCACGTAAAAGTACTGTTAAACAAGAGGTTCTGTTCCATATTTCATATAAATAGAAGTAATTTAATATTATTATATATTAAATGAGACTAAAAAACGAAACGGACATAAAATTTATAAAATTGAATACATAAGAAATCTTAAGAAAAAATATTGACGTAGTGACGTCAATAATTCTCAATTAAAAATAAAAGAAATAATTAGGAACTTTTAATATATCAAAAATAGGGCAAAATTTACATGGGACATGTCCCTCTATAACCACCACCAGTCATGCCTCACGTTGTATTGATTTCGTTACTATAACTATTTTTCCTTTCCCATGAAAAGTTAAATGACAATCATATAAAGAAGGGAATACTAAAATTACTCAACCTACCCTAGATTTTCTCTAAAAATGTATAAGCAACCCCCTCGGTTTTATTAATTGCAAAAAGGCCCTCGTTTAAGCATTGCAACATTTTTGTTACATTGCTCTAATTGCAATCAATATGATTATGCATTTATGTCCTTTTATCGATATAGGAACAAAAAAAAATGTAACGAGTATATAACATCACGTTTATTTTTGTTCGTTGTCCTATCTCACCGTCCTTCATCCACATACGTAACAGAGAAATCGTGCATAATATAGAGTATTCTTTTTTCCCGTTTTTTGGCAATGCAACTTGGCATATGTTATTGGTTGAAAATGAAAATCTAAAATAATCCATGTCGTTATAAGTGCCACGTCTATGATATGAATCCACCTACTTTATTTATTTTCCATTCATTGTCATATAGTACATCGTTGAATGTCAAATGATATTATAACTAGTGTGGACACTGTGCGTTGCGTGGTAACGATACAGTTTTTAATAAATTATACCAGACTAGTTAAGATATAACGTAAACCGGTTAATAATTAGTGGATGTAATGTAAACAATGAATATATTTCTTTAAGTAGTTAATTTGCATATATTGATAATTATTTGTTCATACAGAGAGTTTGAGATATACTGTTAACAAAATGGTTTGAGATGCATTGATAATAAATTTGTTATCATGTTATTTATGACTCAAACCAATATCCATATCACTATTAATGTTACAAAGAGTTTGGACATTTTTTTTGTCTAGAAAAAGGTCTCCTAAAATTAGAGTTGACTTAAAGAATCATCTTCTTTTGTCACTCTATCATCACATCTTCTTACTAATTTGGGATAACCAAACTCATCACATTTCAAGACTTAATAAATATTTCATTCTCGTATCATCTCGTTACTTATGATCGTTACTTTAATATGAAATAAATTTTGAAAATAGTTTTTTATTCTATTCTAAATAAAATTTTAATTTATTAAATCTTAATGTGTGTGTGTATATATATATATATATATATATATACATGTAGAGGGAGAGAGAGCTATGTGCTTAGTTAAGAACTTTAAATATTTTGAGACGTGTTTAGCTAACTATTTATGATACAGAAAAAAAAAAAAAAAAGGAGATGAAGGGATGGAGAAGAAGGCATATACTATCAGGAAGATAGACAATTGGAAGAGATTCAGAGATGTAGAATTACCAAAACGGCAACCCACAATAGAACAACTATTCATCATACTTAGAGAGAAAAAAAAAAACTTTAACAGATTAAACATTTTACATAACCAAAAAATTCAGAAAATTCACACGAGAAATCATATTCTATGAACGTGCCACGTCAATAATCATGGTTGTTGCTTTTAATATGTATAAAAGATATAGAAAGCATGAACGACATCAAGGCAATGCAAAAGCAGATAATTTGAAGTTAAATAACGATATATCACATAAAAACAAAAGTGACAAAAAACATGGAAGCAACTATGATCAAACACGAACATATAAGCTATCGAAAAAATTATTGAACTCTAATGGACTACTAATGAAATGATTTCAAATTGAGGGAAATAAGTAAAACAAATAATTACTCTTATTGGTAGTAGAATTTTAACCATCATAAAATTGCACTCTCTCGAGTAAGGTTTGCATAAAGACAAATTACTCAAAGGTGAAGATTTTAAGCATAAGGATAGGTATCTTTGTAGCTTGTCTCCACAATGAAATAGCAGAGATTGAGAGATATAGAGATATAAAGAATAGTGGAAGACAAGAAAACTTACCAGTGGTAATTGAAAAGGTCGGAATTAAGTCTAGAAATAAATTATTGTTTGCAAAATTACAAAAATATCCTAACTCATTACAAGGGAGATACATTACCAATATAGAACAAAAAGGTCTTTCAACATTTTAAGTGTTCTACAAAATTGTAAAAACTCACAAAATTTCTAAGAAAAATTATTTCATTTTCAATATGCCACTTCATCCTTAAAATGGGTTTTGCTTTTATATATATATAAATTTCAGTCTAAAAATGATTTTAAATTTTAGAACAAATCAACAATTACATGATTTTAAATATATATAAAAGAAATTGATGGTCAAACTAAAAAAAAAAAAGGCAATTATATTTTTGTTAAATACAAATCTGAAACCCTTTAAATAAAGTTGTATTATGACATAAAGTCAGTGGGGTTCAAAAATCACATAATTTCTTTCACCGTACCCTATAATAACGAATAATTTAATGTATATATCAATCCGATTTTATAAGAGTTATTACAAAACAAAGATTTAACATCTAACATATAACAATTAGCTTGCAGGTAGGCGGTAGCGAACATATATGTACAGTAATTTATGAGACATATTTCACTCCTATTGTAAATAAGGAGTAACATGAGCCGTCTACTCATCATCCATATTAGAAAACACCAAGGTGATGCTACTAAAGGCATGAAGTCGAGACATAAGTCCTAAGTAGTACAAAGGTAAGCAAGCAAGATATGAGTTTTGTATGATTTCCCAGATTGAGGTATACACATATGTAACGTTTTCAGTATTTACATAGATGCATAGGCATGCGTACCAATTCTTACAGTTTATAGTTAAATGGTTTCAAATTTTATGCATGACGTACATGTTCGGTATTTTAAAAAAATGTTATGCATGAAAACAGTTTGGTGTTGTGTGTGGTCAAGTATTGAGACACCAGCAACAACAATGGTAGGTGGGGGCACTACAAAGATACCTATAACCAATACATATATTATGGGGGTACCTATATAATTTGTGTTCAAATATTACCAATACATACTAACATACCGCAACCAATGCACTCAATAAGTTGAGATGTATGGCAATTTAAATTTGGGATCTCACATGTTCAGTTATTATCGTATATGTTGCATTTGTGCAAGGTTTAGTACTATATGCATAATGAACTTCTTTATTCACGAGCATATACATGTTCAAATTTAATACTTACATTCAGATTGCATGCTGCAATATCAGTTTTTTGGGTTTATCTGGAAAACTAACTATTAGTCTGTACTTGAATTTGTCAGATGAAAAAAAGGGGGTTATTTGTTTTAAATCTAGTCATGATTGATGTTATGTTTAGCTTGAGCTTTGTTAAGTTTGTAAATATGTTAAAAGAATAAATTTATAACTCAATAATGGTACCTTCATGTAATTGTTGATATTTCATGAGAATATGGTGTGATTAACATAAAGAAGGGTAGGTTCAAAAATGTTACCAAACTTGAAGGGTGATTTTTGTAATTTTATATAATTAAATGCCTCCTTTTTAGCGAAGGAATGCTTGTCACCTACTCCTCCCCTTCATCAATCTCATGCTACACCGCTAGAGAGAGAAACAAGAATCACAGCTCTGTAGAGAGAGAAACGCACACACACACACACACTGCGTGTGGGATCTCTCTTCCATGGAGGGAAGAATGTGTAAGATATGTGATAAGGTTTTCTCTAACGGGAGAGCTTTGGGTGGTCATATGAGATCTCATTTAGTCACCTTACCGCTTCCATGGAAGAAACCAATTCAATTGCAACTCAGTCGCACCAGTACAGAGTCGACAACTTCAGCAGGGGTATCCTCGGATGAAGAGAGAGAAAGTGATCAGGAGAAGATTTTGATGTACGGCCTGAGGGAGAATCCCAAGAAGAGCTTCAGAATGGTGGATCCGGATCATGGAGGGTCCGGTTTTGTAGTTCAGGAAGACAGGGAGAGTGAGACGGAGGTGACGCGAAAGACCAACCCGACTCGGAAGAGATCGAAAAGGGCTAGGGTTACGCCTTTGGTGAAGGAAGTACCCAGTATGAGTTCCGAGTTGGAACCGGTGATGAGTTCGGTATCCGATCAAATTTCCGCCGAGGAGGATGTTGCTCTGTGTCTGATGATGCTCTCACGTGATGTCTGGAGCTTCATTAACTTGGACGAGTCGAGTCGTGGCCAGAAGCGCTCCAAGTACCAGTGCGAGACGTGTGACAAAGTGTTCGACTCGTTTCAAGCACTGGGTGGTCACAAAACGAGTCACCGGAAAATCGAGAACGACTTCACCGGCGTTGGCAACAAGTCTAAGAAGAATGTTGTTCAGGATGATGGAAAATCACACGAATGCCCATTCTGCTACCGGGTGTTCGGGTCGGGTCAAGCATTGGGTGGACATAAGAGGTCACATGTATCGGGTTCGTCAACAACTGCAACAGACGCTTTAGTCTGTAAGGTTGATGGCAGTGTCAATTTGGTACATTCCACCAAAGCACAGGGTAATCTGGTAATTATAGATCTTAACTTGCCAGCTCCAACAGAAGATGAAGAAAACTCTTCTGCTGTTTCTGATGCTGAATTTTATCAATCCCCATTGCAACTTTGACTCTGCAGTGTCTCGAAATGACAACACTACCCCTCCCTCAACTTCTGATTTGATTAGTTTTCAATCGGGTTGGAGCCTGATGTAGGGTATTTTGGGGAATTCAGTCAAATGGGTTTTCTTCTGAAAATTTTCATAGATAATGCCTTGTATTGGAATTTTTCCTTCTTTGGAAGCACCTTTGTCCTATAAAATTTCCTTTCTTTTATTTATTCGTTAAATATTTAATAATATATAAATAAATATTTTAATGATTAAAATGTGTTTTTTAAACAAAAAAGAGTATTATTTAACACATAACCAGAGTCATAAATTGCTATATTTAGGAATAATAAATAAAAGGTAAGTAGCAAGTTTTGGTAGTAGCAGTTGTACCATGATGTACAATTCACTGTTGCAGGTGAATGGTGAAAAGACCTTATCAAACATGATTCTCTCCTCCATTTTATCTGATAAATTTAGGGGTCGTTTACTAAATACTTACCTGGTACGTGCTTATCAATAAAATTTAACACTATTATTTACTTACTGGGTAAGATTTTAGTCTACCAAAACGACATCGCATGCAACAATTTACCCGGTAAGTGCTTACCGTGGTAAGAGTCGTCGCTCTCACTTACCGGGTAAGACTCGTGGTCATTGTCTCGCTCTTTCCAGGTAAGATTCTTGGTTCTTACCATATTCGTCCGGTGAGGTAACGTGACTTGGTAAGCGTTTACCCGAATAAGCATTTGGTAAACGGCCTCTTAGTCATTTCTCTTATAAAATTTCCAATATGTCACTACCTTTGCAAGTACACTTTTTCAACGAAGAAGTCAAAATGTAAAAAAAGAAGAAGGAGTTACTGAATATGGCTCGTAAGTATAAGAACCAAATATGTAAATCAGTTTTAAGTGTTTGAAATTTTATAGATTTGAACCCTATACTTGCGGATCATGTATATATATATATATATATATATATATATATATATATATATTTTACTTTCACTCCTCCACAAGTTGAGGCTTTGCTAGTTTGCTACTTGCGGATGTAGTGATATTTTTTAAATTTTGAAAGAAAAATAGCTAAGAGATAAATGTATAAGGTTGAAACGACTATTTTGAGCAATTTCCCTTAAACTACAAAAATGGTTCTTGGATTTATGTTTGGCTCATCCTTTTTGATTAATGAATTACATAAGTGGTATTCAGGTTATAATATAACTTACAAAATTAAATTTTACATAAATGTTTGTATCGATTATCAATGTTTCTTTTTATGATTTTTATTTTTAAATCCAATCTATGACCAGTTAATTTTTATCTAAGCTTAGTTGATAAACATGATGAAGTAAATAAATCATAAAAGATACCCAATAAAACCAGATATAAAAACGTTGATTTAAAATATCTTATAGTTTATCATTCATATCGCGCACATTTCATTTTGAAACAAATATGGTAATAAGATTAGATACCAAAGTATTTAATCGGCAAAGCAAATAATATTTTTCTTATTAAATAGAGTGCTTACATTATAGATATATTTATTAAAATAGTCATGTTTTAGGGTTGGTTTCACTTCTTAGACATTTTTTCTTTAAGTTTACCAAAATAGCCATAGGTTTACAAAACCCACGTTTCAGAATTGCAGACCCAACTAAAAGACAAAAAAAAAAAGTCACACTTTGCCTATGCAAAAAAATTACATTTTTTCGCTCATCTACAAACAAAATTACATTTTTTACATTTCTCACCCAAATCTGCAAAAAAAAAATTGAAATTGTGGACCTAGGGCTATTTTGGTAAAAGTTGTAAATAAGTGACTAACAGGTGAAACTAACCGGTGAAAATAATTATTTTAATTAATTTCCCTACGTTTTATCACGATTACATGATATATAATACCACGTCCTACTTGTTCCTAGTGTTACATAAAATAATTTTATAAATTGTAAACAACTGACGACCTGGTAACATGGGCAGACCTATATTAAGGGGATATGGTTGTCCGTGCAACAATAAAAATAAACGGTATAAGTGTAATTTTTTAAGGTATATATATAAAATTATAAGTTTTTTTTAAATAAAACCATAAACATTAAAAGCTTTTGAGGGTTTAAATGGAAAAAAATAAGAAGTAAAATAGTCCATGATGATGGTAGTTACACTTTTGACTCTTCAAAACTTTGGTTTTAATTTACTTTCTTTTCTTTTTATTTGACATCCTTATTATTTAGTTAATTAATTAATTATCAACTAAAATATATTTAAAAACACGTTTATTTTTGACAAATCACACCATTAGAAAGACGTCGTTGATACCTTCGAAATGAGTTCAATATTAAATATTTTTAACATTAATTATATTTGTAACGTTACTGCAGATAAACAAGAATATATTTTTGACGTTAATTGCATTCATGTATGGTAAAATGCAATATTTAATCTCTGTTAAAAATACACATGACTTTGATTCGGTCATTTGTTTCATAGAAAAAGAAACGCTTTGCCTTGATCATGAACGAAAACGTAAAAAGACGAAGCCTCGTAAGGACCAGTTGTAGACGGTAGCTTATATCTCATTTTAAATTGTTTTGATGTTATAAATTATTTATATAAGGAATATCTAATACGTGATCAACTACAAAAATAAATGGTGCATAAAATGCATAGATCAAATTGTCGTGAAATACACCCACGCATGCCATAATTGATTGAACTGATCCAAGAAGCATGTCGCACCGAGATTCAAATAAATACATTTATTGGGATGTGCACAACAAAGAACAAATAGTTATTCCGAGTCCAAAAAATGCATGTAATCATTTTTATTCCAACTTTCAAACCAGTTTGTCTAGAGTAAAATTGATTTTGAACTCGTACATTTTGTTGTATTTCCACTTTGGGTGTGCTAAAACTTGACAAAATTAAAGTATGGTTGATTTTTTTCGCAAAAATTACCAAACTAATCTAGAAAAACTAAAAGATTGATTCAGAGTGTCCCAGATGTCTGCAAAGACAAATTATAGACTCTGTAGTTTGGCAAATCAAATTTTGCAGGCTAATTCACCGCATTCCCAACAATCAGATTTTTAAAAAGTGGATATCTGTAGTGTGGTTAGTTTGGTTGATGAAAGATGCAAAGAATAGTACTTTAATATAAACACACTATAAGAAAGTAAATATCGAGCCTACAAATTAATTTACATCTAAGGATTTGAAGAAATGATAACTCCAAAAATGGTTTTTTTTTATTATTTGAGAGATTTTCAATACTCAAACGCTCATCTAATTGAAATATAAATCGATATGTTATTCTAATATTGATTATCATAGTAAGTGGTTCACTTTAGGTGTTGGGTACTTCCAAAATATTTGGATATAAAATAGAGGTTTCTATTCTATATTGCGTGAACATTTGCCAACTTAAAAACTTAAGGGTTGTTTATTGAACGTTTACTATGTAAGCGTCTAGCAAATCACATTAACGTATATGACAAAGATCAAGAATTTTATTAGGTAAGAGTGAAGGCAAGAAGACAAGTCTTACTTGGTAAGTGAGGGCGACGATTCTTGCCACGATTAGTGCTTAACGATAAATTGTTGTATATGATACCATTATGGTGAACTAAGATCTTACCCGATAAATACTTGATAATGTTGAATTTTACCCGTAAACATTTAATAGATGTCTCTTTAGTTATTTTCTTGATTGAACTATAAAATATTATAATATTTTTTCCTAAAGATTTTCGACAAACAAACATCAATCCGTATTGAAATATAAATAATTATTGTTATTATGATATTAATTTATAAATGATTGGGATCCAAATAAAATGACGGGGTTGGTTTTAAGGACAAAATCAAAACTAGAAATAAAGATGGAAATGGGCGAGGTGACAAAGGGAGCTTTGACTTTTGTCCACATCATGATTTTTAAAGTCAAAAATTGATCGCAATTTTTGGTCAACATCGAGCTCTTCTCGTTCCAATAGAAAAACCATCTATAGCGATGTCGTTTTAATATACTTTATACTACTATCCTTTTCAACCTTTACATTTCTATATTTAACAAATCTTAGGGGTTTCTTATCGGATGAACATAAAATAATCAAAAATCTTATCGTGTAAGAGCAATAAAAAAGGATATAGAGTCTTACCCGATAGGTAAGAATGACGACTCTTACTCAGATAAACATTTACCCAGTAACTTGTTGCATTCGATATGTTTTTGATAAAATTAAATCTTACGTATCAAAATAAATTATAATGTTGAATTGAATCCTATCAGTAATCACTTACCATGTAAGCATTTAGATAAACGATCCCTTAAATACATTATATATTTTGTAGAATGTGTATGTAAAAATATACTTAATAAATAATTAAATAATATCTGGAATATTTTGTACTAAAATTAATGTTGTTCATAATTTATAATTAGCGATTACTATATAAAATATGATGATTTTCACAACCTCTGTTTCTTTTCATTAAAACTTATTTTATAGTTAAATATAAAGAAATGATAATTAAAAAAAAATATTCCTGTGATAAAATAAGCAACATACTTTTGAAGAATTTCAAAATTTCATGTATTTACAACCTTTTTTTCTTTAAAATTTGGCAACTATATTATAATTTATTTTAAAAACTAAAATCAAATACGTCTGCACTATATTATAAAACATTAAAGAAAAACTCTTAAAAACTATTTTTATGTACAAAGTACTGAATATTGATGCATATTACTTAAAATTCAAGATTACAAGTAAATTATGCTTAAATATAACTTATTAAAGCTCTATATTTGAATTCATGTAACCAGCGGATAAACATAATCAAATAGAGGATAAATATCTCATTTAAAATATAAAAAATCTAAAATATAATTAGGATAAT